TCTGCCATACCTATCCTGCATGAGAAACTCCCTCCCAACGTGCTCGAAAGTGGACAGCTCTTGGCACTCATGCAACACAGACTTTTGTAAGATTCAGATTTAGCATGACAAGTTGCACCCTTCCAGACCCAGACATTTTTGCATTTGATAATCCCGGGGAAAGAACGATGCGGACAACGCGTCCGCGCGGGAAAACGTCACGATTCTGGTCGGGACCGACACGGGGAACACATCCGACTTGGCGCAGCGAACCGCGGACATGATGCGCGCACGGGGCTTTTTGGTCGAATTGATGGAACTGAACGAAATCGCGGACATTTCCGACCTGGAAAACCGCGAGCACGTCATGCTGATGTGCAGCACCGCGGGTGAGGGCGATATGCCGCAGACCGCGGACTCCTTCTGGGAGTTCATCAACGACCCCGCGCTGTTATCCGGGTCCGAAGAGACCCAGCCGCTGAAGAACATGAAGCTCTCTTCCTTCGGCTTAGGGGACACTTCCTACCGGCACTTCAACAAAGCCGTCCTGGACATCGAGAAGCGGTTCGTGGAGCTCGGCGCCACGCCCATCATCGAGACCGGGATGGGGAACGACCAGGACGACGACAAGTACGAGACCGCGTTCGAAGAGTGGCTCCCGAAGTTCTGGCAGCACTACAACGCAACCGAAGAACCCGATGCGGATTTGATCCCGAATCCCAGCTTCGAACTGCAACCGGAACCCGAGCCCTGGACCTACCAGCCGGTGATGGCGCCAAGCACGAAGATGCTGACGATGGAATTTTGCAAGCGGATCACACCAGCGGATTTTGACCGCATCATCTACCACATTCGGTTTGACCGGAAGAACACGGATTACAACTTTCTGCTCGGGGACGCGATGAGCATCTACCCGAAAAACGACCCGGAAAGGGTGAAGGACTTCCTGAACAACTACCTCGGCAAGCCGGGAGAATCGAACTTTGACTTTACGACTTGTTTCAAGGTGTTGCCCACAACCGAGGTCGACAAAAGGAAAGCGATGGCGTTCCGCCGGCCGTTGACTGTGATGCAGATGTTCACGGAGATCATTGACATTCTGGGGCGGCCGAACAAGCACTTCTACAAGAACTTGGCAAGATTCGCGACGGACGAAAAGGAGAAGAAGGAATTGCAACTGCTGATCGAGGACAGCGAGGAGGGGAAAAAGGCCTACAAGGCGATGGCGGACGAAACGGTCACCTACGTTGATGTTTTGAACAAGTTTAAATCTGCGCACCCCCCGCTCGAGCACCTGATCTCCATGATCCCCTGCGTGAAACCGCGCCTGTACTCCATCGCCAGCTCGCCGCGGTTCATGCCGGACCACGTGGAATTGATGATTGTGGTGAACGACTGGGAGACGCCGTCGGGGAAGCAGCGGATCGGGTTGAATACCGACTACATCCACCGGTGTGAAACCGACTCCGACCCCCATCTCGTGAACCAGCAAATGTTCCCGGTTGGCTTGACCAACGGGACCTTCAACTTTCCGCAGGACACGCGGACGCCGATGATCATGACCGGGTTGGGAACGGGGCTGGCGCCCTTCCGCGGGTTTTTGCAGGAGTGGCGGTGGTGGCGGGAGACCATGAACAAAGAAACCGGGCCGATGTGGCTGTTCTACGGCTGCCGCTACAAGGCGAAGGACTTCTGTTTCGCGGACGAACTGTACCAGTACGAGAAGGACGGGATTCTGACCGAGCTTCGCCCGGCTTTCTCCCGCGATCAGAAGGAGAAAATCTACGTTCAGACGCGGATGAGCGAGGTGCCGAACGAGTTGTACAAGGACCTGGTGGAGAACGAGGGGTACTTCTACCTCTGCGGCCAGGCCGGACAGCTCGAGATCGACGTGGAGAACGCGATCAAGAAAGCGGTCATGGCCACGGGAAAATACGACAAGGAAAAGGCGGACGAGTACGTCGAGGACATGCACCACGAGGGACGGTACAACCTGGAACTTTACTAAAAAATCTTCTGATTTCCTTTTATCCGGTGGTCAGATCATACTTATTTATGGTTTTACTGTTTAATACGGAAGATCGGAGAACAAGTAGAATTACTGGTGGCACCACAAACAGGTGGTACTAAAGCACGCACTCTGGTGGTGTCGACAGCGCTTTGCTCATTTACAGATTCATACTGAAGATGATTCAATAGGGAGCCAATTTTCCTGTAGCAGAATATTCGACTTTACAGTAGTTGATCCCGGTCGGTGTATTATTTCTGTGCGGTGCTCCGCATCATGTTGAGAAAGCTGCGCCGCCGGGTGGTATTTGGTTGTAACAAAACTTGAAGCGCTCCTATAGATACCTATTCCTAGCAATCCAATTTCGATTTCATCAAACCTGTTTCATCGATGAAGTTTTAGCTCTTATTAATATCTGTTGAGAACTGTTTTAGCCAATTTATTGTACGAAAATATTCACATTATTTCTGATTTCTTCTTGGCGATTGTTGAAAATAGCTCTATTTTAATTGGCTGCCAACTGCTGCTTCGTGAGTCGGTCTTTTGAAGCAGCCTGCTGTTCTCTGGGAGCGACTCTGCGAAGCAGCTTTTAATTACTCTCTTCGAATCAAAAATCTAAATCACATATGTCATGCGTCGTATAGTATCGAACCTAAAAATGAATAGACACGATGGCGTGTGTGTCTACTGCCCTGATTGGGGCCGAGATGCATTGCTCCATCATGCGATCGCAACCTGTGAACTTTTTTCAGCTCTAACTTCTAGCAGAAAGAGTCCTTGATGCCGTTATTTAGATTTGGAAAAACTTCTACCAGAATGAATTCTTCAAGCGCGAGCAGTAATTATCCGAAAGTTCAAGGTAAGACTCCTATGGCTGTCATAACAACTTCTACAGTATTCATGCTTGAAATTGAATGGAGGAGCGCGGCGACACTAAGAAATGCGTTTCACCATGCATCACGAATCGAATTACGATAATACGAATTATGGCACGACGAGTCCTACCAGATGGATTTTTATACGGCAGAACACATCCGACACCATGGGACGAAGTGCTGCAAGTGCGTACGAACTGTTGGAACACCTCAGGTGCTCGCTCCAGTTTATGTACACATTTTCAGCACGACGCGCTACATTAAAAATACTCAAACGAAATAATAGAAGAGATGAACCACCAGTGGAGGTAAGGATTGCTGGCATCTTCAGGGCGAAAAGATTGTAGTGTAGCAAGCTCGCTGTGATTGCAGCTATGAAGAATCTGGGGCTGTGGGAGTTGTTTTGCGTTGCTTCGACATCCCCTCTCAGATCAGAAATCTTTCAAGACCGCTCTTTTTATGAAGTGAACTTGTAAGACTAGTTAAAGGAAGACAAGGAAGATAGAATAGAAAAAAAGGCGTAAATGAGCAATTAGACTTGGCTTTCAAGCCAAGAATTCTTTCGAACAAAAAGGAAAGATGACCCAGGTGCTGGAGCGCATTGAGTTTCCTGCTTGTGGTGTAGTCAGGGTGTATGACGCAAGTTCGAAATTACATGGCGCTCGTCAATATTGAAAAGTCGAATATTCAGTTGAAATCACAAAACAAGTACAATCGAAATTTCTAGGTCGTGGCAATAAGGAGGACCCGACGAAGACCTTGATGAAGTTTCTAATTTGATATCCTAGAACCATTTCCAATCAAGCAGACCACGCGGAGCTCTCCCAGCGCGGCAACATCACCCGACGCGATGCGAGAAGGCCCTGACGCTGAGAAGGGCCTCAGTATTAAGAGCATCGTGCTAGGATGTTGGTCTCTGTGTTCTTGAAGTGGTGCGTTATGAAAAGTCCATGTTTCTATCGTCTTTGCCATGTTTCTGCGTGGATGTGGGCGGCCGCGATCTTCTTCTGTGTGCGAAAGAGCTGTTGTCAAGGACAAGTGGAGCGATAGTAAGCGTAGCACGTCCTTTTCCTTTGTGCGTTTTTCAACGTGCGATATAGCTCACCGACCTGTCATTTACAATACTAGATTAAAACCAATCTCGCCACCAGTCGAAGGGAAAAGTAGGACAGCGCGAAAGACATCGGTTTACTTATTCAAAAAGAAAAAAACAGTGCACATCTGTAGCTTCACTTAGTAAGATACGCGTCCGCAAAGAAATCGGCCACGACTGTAAACGCTAGAACGTTGCTCCCGGAATAACGATCTCGACAACTAGGTGCATAGAAGGCTGGGCCAAGCACCAAACTGGCTTCATCATTACTGGGACCGAGAACGACTCGCCGCAAGAAGCTGGAGGAGGACGACCACGCACCCGTTTTCATATCGACGAAAGCGAGACAAACAACAGCGGAAAAAAAGGAACCGGGCGACATCTACAGATAAAAGTAAATGTCCCCGATGCCTCCGGGAGCGGACGACGAGTATGACTATCTGTACAAGGTCGTATTAGTCGGAGATGCCACCGTCGGGAAGACGCACCTCCTTTCCCGCTACATCAAGGGCACACTGCCAAAGACACCAACCGCAACGATCGGGGTGGAATTCGCAACGCGGACCGTACCATTAGCGGTCGGGGGCACGGTGAAAGCGCAGATATGGGTATAAGGGCATACTATCGGTGTTTTTTTTAGACAAGCGGTGCATGATTCAGTTTCATCAATAGCTAATTGATGCAGTGATTTCTGTGTATAGTTCTACGTAACATTCGGAAAATCACTGCCTCATCAGGACACCGCCGGACAAGAGAGGTACCGCGCCATCACCTCTGCACATTACCGTCGAGCGGTCGGCGCTCTGCTAGTGTACGATGTGACTAAGCAGGCAACTTTTCAAAATTGCACAAGATGGATGGAAGAGCTGCGATCAAATGCAGAGCCGGATATCGTCATTATGCTGGTCATATGGAAAGAAAAAGCTGTGCTGCCTGCTTTCATGACAGTCTGCTTGATCGCTTGCATGTAGGTCGTGTCCTTTCAGACAGTAAAGGGAGGTAGAAGTAGAAGTTGTAGGTCGTGAAAATTCATTCAAGGACCAGGTAGGTGAACATTTTCATCAAGCAACGATGCGCTATGCACGGGTTTTTCAGTTTCATACGTTGGCAACAAAGTCGATTTAGTTGAAAAGGACCCGAGCTGTCGACAGGTTTGATTGGATTTTTCTGTCATGCGGCATGAATGTTGATGTTTCGGAAAAATAGTGGTCTCCGTAGTGGTGTTTCGTCATGCACCAGGTTTTAGTCGCAGGTGCAGAATAAAAATAAACTCACATTGATCTTCTTTTAAAGGTCTTCTACGACAGTGCGGCGGAGTGGGCACGGCAGCACGACTTACTCTTCGCAGAAGCGAGCTCCGTTTCCAATTACAACGTGAAACACGTTTTCGAGCAGCTCTTGCAGGAGATTTATAACCGCCAGAGCAGAAGAAGCTCGCTCGCAGATTTCGAGTCCAAAGGGCCGGGCATTTCTCTGGGGATCGCGCCCTCGCAGCAAAACCAGCTCGCACAATGCTGTGGCCAGACGTGACATAGGATTTTCATGTTTATTTGAGGTTTAGCGGCTTTTCAGTTTTACGCGGAGCGCCTTCTGGAATAAGATGTTAGTTTTATTGCGCAGAGGAAGTGCTTCAAGGCACTGACTATTGAACTGGACAACTCCATGAAATTTCAATTTGTATTTGACAAAGTTCAAAACATTTTCACGCACGGTACCTCGCAGTACTATGGAGTAGCTACGCCACTCGGTAGTTACTCCGCGAGGCTTAGTCAAAGTTTAGCTTTACTCTTCTCGCCTTTCTCTGATCCGAGAAAGATCTTTTCAACCGTCCAGTCGTTGTATTCGCGTCCTTTCCATTCGTACTGCCGTTTCCACAAGCATAATAGTCGCACGCAGCACGGCTCACATCGTACGAATCGTTCTCGGTGGCGAGGTAAATCTTGCTGCATTTAGAAACCCTAGTTCATCTGACGTCCCGGTTTCGTCGTTCGTAAATGTTTCGTGCCGTGATCGTGATCTCCTTGGCACTACACATGTTGTGTCGTCCTCGTGACCTTCGTGCTTCATTTTTTTGCGCATCATCAATCTCAGAAATTTTGGGGCAGTTTGGCTAGACAAAAGGAAACACCTTCGTCACACAAAAATTTCGATTTAGATTTCAACCCTGTTTATCGTCTTGACCTTTCATATTCTGACCCACCCATCCTTTGCTTTTTCATTTTCAGTTTGGATCAGCACCCAGCTGCAAGTGCCTCTAGTAAGCCGGTGTGCTGTTTGCCTGCTGTTTGTTTTGTTTCGATTTGTTTCCTGTTTAATCCTTTTTTTTTCCAATATGCCTCACTCCTGGAAGAGATCATTTTTGCCCCTGCATTTGCCATTCCTGCGACTCGCAGTCGCTGTGCAAATTGACGTGGAGAGGAACCTGCTGCGCTTGAAGAACAAGCGCAACACGGAACAACAGGCGCATAGCAGAAGTGAAAGCGGCGCCACGGTCGGGAACGTCAATACCAACGAGAAGGCGGCCGACAGTTCCGCTCTTACGACGAGCACGCTCTCCACCCTGGCTGAGTTGTCGCGCCGGCAGTTGGGTCGAGGGGAAGAAGAGCTTCAACAAAATTCACAACATCAAAATACCACCGCTGTTTCTGCGGGAAGCGAAGGAGATGAGCCGGCAGATGCGGTGCCAGAGCCGACCCTCTCGCCGGATGTTGACGAAGCGGCAGACAACAGCAAAGCAATGGCGACAGAGGATGAGGTGGAGGCGGCCGAGGTGCCAGTAGACCTCGCAGTTTCATCATCTTCGGGGTTACCACCGGCTCCGCTAGATCGTGCAGTTGTAAAGCAGGCGCAGGACCAGTCCTGCGCCGAGATTCTAAACAGAGAAGCAACCCCCGTAGTCACGGTCTCGCAGTTGTTTGCAGCCGTTTTCGAGGCGAGAGGCTCGCCCAAGCGGGTTCGCAAGGAGGTGCTCGCCTTGTTCGAGGAGACCGGTAAATCTCCCCAAAGGCAAGTACCACAGGATCCGGATGATGAAAGGACAACATCAAGCAGTAAAAAGGTGTGGTGCAGCGTGAAATTGGGCTTAGAGAAGGACGGCGTAGCTGTGTCTGTCGACGCGACGGGCAAGCCGGAGGACCCGGAGCTTCTGCAGGCGTACCTATTGCTTCAAGAGGCCACCTCCGAGTCCGACCCGGAGGCGCCGCAAACGGGCGGCGTGCTGATTGCGGCGTTGGCGAAATTGCGGGAGGTGGCGGAGAAGCACGGACTCCCGGTTGAGGAGGACGCTCTGCACCTGCTCAAGGCTGCGGAAGACGAGGACAACCAAGCCGCTTGGCGGGCGAAATTGCAGGGAAGGCGCAATGTGCCCGTGCTTCTGGGCGCCTCGGGTGAGGGTCGTTCTTCTGACCTCGGGGACGTAAGTCATCTGGACGGAGCAGGACAGGCAAGTGGCCCGGGGGACGAGGAAGAAGAGGAAGAAGGACCAGCCGAGCCGGAAGCTCCGCCACCGACCACCTACACGGCTAGTGACCCGTGGCCCCCGCGGGAGTTCTGCGTGGAGCAGGGCCTGAAAAAGATGGCCGGGTCCCCCGTGGAGTACCGCGTCTTCTTCTCATATGGAACTGTCAGGATTGAAATCGACAAAGTTGAAATGATTTGCCATGCATAAAATGGATGCCCGTTGGTGTCCAGTTTCCAGCTGGCGCATGACAAATTTGGGAAGAGCAGAAACCCAGTTTGTCATGCTGTTTGGGTAAGGAAGACGCCTTTTGTCATGCTACTTTAGCAGCTCTACTGCTACCCCTCAACAGGCATACAATCTGCCTCCCTTGCCTACTCAGCAAGACAAGCACTTTGTGGCTTGCATTTTATGCATCGCAAACTATTTCAACTTTGACGATTTCAAACCTGACACTCCCACACCTCCTGTCCCTGCTCGCAGGCCGTGGACATTGAGATGGCCTCCGCGCTGGACCACGTGCGCGAGTGGAGCGGCGCGGACAACAGCGTGGAGTACGCGGTTCGAAGCGTAACTCACGCGCAACGTGACGGAAACAACAAAACCGAGGTGTTCCACTGGAGCAGCTACGAAACGGACCCGGTCAGCGAGGAGGTGCACAACGCACTCGGGTCGTACAGCACGCTCGGCCTCTCCGAGTCCTGCGGGCTGCAGTGCGCGGACCGCCGGAAGCGGGTCCTGCAGTGCCGGAAGTGCTACATCGACATCGTCAACAGCAAGCAGCTGGCGGTCCTCGCGAACGACAACGTGCAGCCGTGGGTGTTTCATGCGGGGCAGTTCGCAAACGAAACGGACGACAAGTCGTTAAGCGAGTGCCTGGCGGAGCACGAGTGTGGTCCGTCTTTTGTCGGGCTGGACGCCTACCAGAGCAGCCCCGCGCTGCGGAAAAGGTTAAAGGTGTCGGGCAAGTGGAATCCGCGGCACCCGCAGTGGTGGTTTCACAGCGGCAAATCGGACACCCTGCGGGACTGCGTGGCGTTCACCTACGACACCAGAAAACAGAAGTGCCGCCTCTTTCCCCCGACCTTCGATCCGAAGCAGTGGTACGAAACGATCTTCGCGGTGGAAGAAGGTGGTCGTGCTCCTTCACCGAACAAGGAGGTCCCGGAAGCCGCATCCTCCGATAAAGATGCGGTGCTCCTGCTGGGTGGGGGCAGCGCTAGCGCATCAATGAGCAAGACCGGCGGCGACTACTTTACTGTGGACGGCACCGCTGGCGCCGGCTCGCCGCCAGTAAACAAGCCCGTGCCGCACGAGCTGCTCTCGGAGCGGGCGTTCACGGTGGAGCGGTGCACCGTTGCCGGGAAGTTGATGGAGAAACACCTGATCGTGCAGGACAGTGCCACCGCGGAGAAAGTGTTCGTGGATTCTCAATTCCCGATGGAAATCGAACACGCCGTGTCCACCATCCCGCCCGGGTTACCGATCGTGGACACCGTCGAGGCGAAGCCGGACAAGGAAGAGGCCTCCTGGGTGATTCTGATCGCCGGGCCGAGCTTGGGCTTGGGGTGCTTGACCTTCTTCATCGTGCTCGGAATTCTCCTGGTCGTCGTCTACTTTCTGTTCCGGACCGAGGCTTCCTCGCTCTACACAGTCCCGAGCGACGGGTCCTTCCGCCGGCTGGGCGACCCGACTGACACCGCGATGGGCGCGTACTCGCAGGCGAGCCGGAGCGCCAGGGTGGTGCTTTCGCGGGGCGACTCCGCGGCAACAACGAATGTTCTGACGAGCGCCTCGGCTAGTGGAGTTGTCAGAAATAAAGAGTTGCTACCCATGGGGGACGACGGTGAAGATGAGCACCCGAAGCAGCTTTACTCGGATAGCAGTAACGCGGCTGGGGTAACTTCGCGTTCGCGGAGTGTCAGCAACGCGAGTCACGTCAGTGTCAACTACGCGGCGCGGAGTTTCAGCACGGCGAGGCCCACGACGGGGCAGAACCTCGCGCTCGAGGCGGGGCGCGAGGAAATGCGGGTGCTGCGGCAGGCGGCAAATGACTTGGCAGTAACCGACCCATCGGCTTCGGCGAGCGAGTTTTCGGGAAGGTGATAAGATTGTAAGTAGAGTTCTTGGTCAACCCAGGAAATTGGTAGACTTCAGCTAGGCATGAAATTGCATAGACTCAACGGGACAGCAATACTCTTTCTCCAGTACGAGATAACATACCTTCGGCACGTACTTAAAACATTTGGAGTTTTTGCATTGAAGGAGCTGTTGTCACATCACCTCAGCAATCAGCCCCCTCCTGGCACCGCAAAATAGTCGGCTCGCTCGCACTATCGCTTAAACAAATCTCCACACTGGCTCTTGAGATAGTAGTGTTCCATGCCCCTGCTGCGGGATCAAAATAAAAAGCATTCGAACTGAAGACCTCAGAAACGAAATCGGTCGATGAAAAGCCACGGTCGATGAAAAGGGCATGAAGCTGATTGTGAACTCTGGAACAAGCACGCTCCTGGATCCTCCTGAATCGGTTTTTCAGTAACTAGGTCGCAAAAAACGTTAATGACTTCCAAGAACTATTGCGGAGCCAAAGCTTTGAAAAACGTCGTCAAGTGCTCGTGAGTACGTAGCTCCTACAAAGCGATAAACCCGCACACACTCACCAAAATTCGTCTAGATTGAATGTAAAGCCGCAACTGTAGATCTTATTTCTGGATCGTAACTGCTACCATGCAGTGCAGCAGACCTAATTCTATCATTCGTGAACGTAATCGTATTCGTTTGTGTGTTTTGTCAAAGATTTGAAAACTACGGTTACAGGATTTTTCCAAAAGTAAAAAACTGAACCAGGGCCCGTGGTACGTGCTACTACCCCCTATGTGGGGGAATAACTAGTACTGAGTCCCAACTTGTTATATGTTTGAAGCCTATGGGCGGGGCTTCAGGTACATATAAGACGACTAGGTGCCCAGTCATGAACACAATCGAAGAGGCAAATGCTTACGCGGTTTGCTGAATCCTAAATCATCAGCTTTCCTAGCTCTACTCGTTTTTTCACCAATAGTACGAGGTCGAAAGTATCAAACCCCGGGGGACCATCGTAGGGACTTTATCGCGTATATAAAAACTTAAAAGTAGTTGAAAAATTCCAAGAAAATGGCAACAGTTGCGGACGACGCCGGCTCAATCTCCACCCTCCCTTCTGGTTGGGAGGAGAGTCAGCTGTGGCACATGTCCTCGTGGACAACGAACGACGCAGTGTACAACGAGGTGGCGCTGCCGTTGATTTTCAACTGCGTGATCGACCACCGCATAGTGCAGCGGTTGCGGGAGATCAAGCAGCTCGCCCTGGTGGAGTACGTGTACAAGGACGCGACGCACAGCCGGTTCGCGCACAGCATCGGCGTGGGGTACCTGATGTGCGCGTTTCTGCGGGAGTTTGACCAGGAGCAGTTCACCGCGCTGGTCAAGTTCAACCGCGTGAAGGAGGGCAAGATCAAGGACCCCTGGGTGCTGGCCGTCCGGGAGAACCTGCGGCTGAACGACAAGGACCGCATCTGCCTGATCGTGGCGGCGCTGTGCCACGATTTGGGGCACGCCCCGTTCTCCCACATGTTCGAGGTGTTCCGCCGGGAAAACGGGGACGACCCCACCTGGTCGCACGAGACGGCCTCCAAGCTGCTGGTGCAGGCGGTCTGGGAGGACGTGAAGGACGTGATGAAGGAGGAGTATTGGAAGTTCTGCGAGGACCACGAGCCGCTGATCCCCGTGCTATGAGAGTGCATAACTCCCCCTCGTCCCCCTGATTCGTCATGCAAAATGCCAAGAAATCCCCGCTTGCTCTTTGGCACCAAACGCATGACAAGTTCTCGATGCCCAAACCGCACTCCAGTCCGTACGTGGATTTGTCATGCGACAGCCACATTTGTGCCATTGCTTGTGATGCCGATTATGCTATACAAATGAGGGGGAGGCGAGGGAGTAGTTGTGCACTCTCATACGTGCTGGACTGGAACGAGAAGGACCTGCTGTACATCCAGGAGCTGATCGACGTTCCGGGGAAAAAGGAGCTGCAGGAAGCGCTGCGGACCGGGCGGCTGCACGAGGAGTGGGGCAAGCACATCCAGTCCCGCCCGATCGAGTACGCCTGGACGTTTGAGTTGCTGTCCAACTGGCGGGGCGGGTTGGATGTGGATAGACTGGACTACTTCCTGCGGGACACCTACCACGCCAAGGTGTCCTGTCCGATCTGCTGGAACCGGGTCAAGAGTTCGATCCGCGTGGTGGCGCACCAGGAGGCCGCGTGCCCCGGATCCACCAGCGGAACGAGGAGCGAGGGGGACGAGGAGGGGGAGGAGAATAATCATTCCGAGAATTATGTTGAGCAACGGATTGATACTAACAAGAATCCCAACGCTTCTACAACTACCGCTGCGAAGATGAAGGCGAAGCTGACGCCACGGCAGATCGAGCAAAAAGCGCGAGAGCGGCGGCGCGACACGTACGTCCTCACCGCCGCCTTTCCGTCCAAGGACCGCGACTCGGCCGTGTTCGACTTTCGCAGTCGCGTGTACCAGAGCATGTACCTCCACCCCGTGGTGGTCCGCATGGAGCGGTGCAAGCTGCGGGAGATGCAGCTGTTGAAAACCCACAGCAAGGCGGCTTTCCAGAAACTGCTGCGCTTTTCGGATTTGACCGAAGAAAACTTCAGCGTCGACAACTACCTGCGGTTGACGGACTCGTTCGTGAAGGAAATGATTGCGGATGATGACGAAGCTAGCAAGTTCCACGACCAGGTGGTGCAAAAACGCGCGAAGGAGACCCTGATCGACGTCGGCAGCTACGTGTGGGAGCCACGAGGTAGTGTTAACAGCTCTACCTTTGCGGGATCCGCGTTTGGGTCGCAGATTTTCCAAAGCAAGGCGAGAAAGGAGGAGGTGAAGCGGGAGCTGCACGATTTCCTGGTGACGAATTTGCCCAACATCGACTGGAACGCCTGGATTGAGAGCCTGCGTGGCACTAGTAGGAGTGTACGGTTCAATCGGGCTGACTACAAACTCTCCCCTAGCGCGGAGAAGATCCTCCGAGACCACATGACGGAGTCGCTGCAGGAGGGTTCGTTGAGCTGTTTGTACGTGAACGACGAGGTCTTTCACAACGGCAACGGCGAGCGGGATCCGCGGTTGTATCTGGCGTGGTACGACAAGAAGGTGGAACCCGCTTTCGAGCCCAACTCCAGCGGCGACGGTGGCGGGCAACCGCACGTGAAGAACCAGATCCGGCTGTTGTGGTTTTGCCCACCGAAAGCGCCGGAGTTTGGCGAAACGGAGCGCGAAGTCGTGGTGCGCCGGATGCAAGCGCTGTTGGCGCAGTACCAGGCGAAGCCGTTCGGCTGGCGCTCGGTTCCGTCGGTGAGCCAGCAGGATCCGCTGGATGGGGCCCAGGATCATCCGCAGGCGGTGCTGGAAAACAGCGTGTCGCGCAACGGGTTGCCCTCTACGCAGGACGGCCCGGAGATGCAGCTTCCGCGGAACACGTCCCAGGACTCGCTGGACCATCCGCGGTCTTCCAACGCACGCGGGTCCAGGGTGCTGCAGCCGAGCGATCGGGCTGCGGGCGAAAGTTTGCGTGCGTGGCAAGAACAAAGCGGCGCGTCTTCGCCAGTTGGGGGCGCTAGGAAACGGTCCAATGCTGAGGAGAGCCACGGGGGTGATCGGTCCCCAAAAGTAGCGCGCCGATAGTGGAGACCTTCGCCTCACGGTAACGTAGCTTTGCAGCAGCGCGTGTTTCTTTACGTATTTTACTTACCCTATGCCTATGACGCAAACTCATAAGACTTGATCAGTTGTTGGCCTGCTGATCTTTCAACCCGTTTCGTGTTACTTAATTCTCTCTACCCATGCAAATCGACCGAGTTTTCCTATCGTAGATATTTTTTGCTGTTGCGTCAGCGCGTTTGACGGGGGGCAGAATGGCAAGTGTGTCAGGATACCTGATTTTTCGAGGTGGTTTGGCTTTGAACATTATAATGGGTAAGTACGTTTGCCAAGAGTACTGTACAAATTCATTGTTTGAAATTGAAGGAGAGAGACCACCACGTATGTCTCTCATGTACAAGCAGATACGTTAGTCGTACTCGTACTATGGCGACAGCGAAGCAAGTTGTGGCAAAGGCTTCAAGTAGTATTTTGGGAAATATATCCTGTTTCTTTCACCGTGTATTTTGATTGGAGCGACGCATGAATAACCCATACCATAGTTTCTCACCAACATCAATGCCACACTGGATCTGGACGGGGCCTGGGGCTTCATGATATCGAAAATTCACAAAGTCAACCGCAGTGTAACACTGTTCGACTGCAACAAGTTGTGAACTGACAGGGAGGTTGCTGTGTTCACCGTACGAGAACAAGACCGAGTCAGTCGCGTTTCAAGTATGTTGGATAAGTACCGTCCTCTTGACAAGCTGCATGATTGAATTTGTGTGAGAATGGTCTTGTCTGTTCTTGAATTTCCGTTTCGGGTTTCATGACAAATGGAAGACTGACAGAATATATTTGATATTACCTGGACGCTGTGGTACTTGCTGTGTCGGTTGGTCAAGATCTTTTGCCCTCGGTACTGACTCTGACCCTATTCATTGAAGCGTAAAGTCCGACAGCCGTAGACGCTGCGAAGTCAGTCACGTTCGTTCCTCCTAAGTGCTGCTCCACTCTCGGTTGGTTCCACTTCGTGCGAAACACAACAAGCATCTTCGGTACTCGTGCCTAAAAATTGCAATCGTGCAGTCCGTGCAGCTCGTGCTCGTGCAATCGTCCTACAATTTGTTCTTGGGACTCTGAGCATTTATCTATCTTTCCACTTCTTCCAGGACCTCCCAGAACCAGCTATTCATACAATTACATACAAATTTCCTCATTTGTAGCTCTCCTATACCTGCAGGCGCGACCAAATCGCGCGTAGCATCTTAAAAACCAATCATACGTAATATGTTGGAATGTTGAGCTGTTTTTGAATCCCCAACCCTACTATCCCAGAAACCACTATGTCCTCCTGGAAGATCGCGCGGAGGCGTTTAGCCTCTTCGCTCTTCTTCCTGAGTCTCGTCCACAACGAGCAGACCCAGTCTGCCGCCGCGCAGTACACTCACCCGGCGGTATTGAGAGGAAAAATCCCCCCTCCCCATATCGAAAAGGTATCTTTCCGAAAATTTCTGTTGCTGACTTGAGGTCACAAATCACATTTGTCTTGCAAGAAGACAAGGGCAGAAGCTTCCGCCCCATTATGGAAGCGATTGGTCATGCTGTTGGGTCTAAAGGTCAGCCGTTTGCAATGCTGACCAACTAGATCCATACGCCCCTCCCTAACCTGGGGATCTGGCCGCAGTGCCTTCCTGCAATACAAATCTGATTTGTGTACGCAAATCCAGCATCACAGACTTCCCTTTTGATATGGGGAGGGGGGATTTTTCCTTTTCATAGGCGGAGACGCGGCGGTCGCTCACCGCCGAGGAGGTTTTGAAGGCGAACCTTTTATCAAATGTAAAAATGTCTGGGTCTGGAAGAATACGAGATTTGTGATGCAGGTTTTCCATGACCCATGAGGTCTGGAATGCGAGACCCAGCATGACAGATTCTTTTAGGGCTCTATCATGCCTTTCCTGCATGAGAAACTCCCTCTCAACTTGGTCAAAAGGAGACAGCTTTTGGCACTCATGCAACACAGATTTCTGCATGATTCGGATTTAGCATGACAAGTTGCATTCTTCCAGACCCAGACATTTTTACATTTGATACCTTTTCAAGGGGTACCAAGCCGACTCCCGGCCGATCGACCAGCTGGCGCTGAACGACATCCGGACTTCCTCGGGGAACTTTACCCTCCCCTCCGTGCCCGCGACCAACGTGCGGATCCAGATCTACGTGCAAGCGCTGGAGAACTTGGACCAACTCGACGGCACCATCCGGATCGCGATCTGGCTGCGGCAGAAATGGACGGACCACCGCCTGGTCTACCCGCAGTTCCTGAACGTCACCACCGTGATGGGGACGCCAGATTTGATCGCCAGCGGTGACCCGAACTCGTTCAAGATCGTGAACGAAGAGGACGCCACGGTACTGCAGTCGCTGGGGTATACACTGGTGACCCGGCAGGTGGAAACGCCTGCGATGATCTCCGTACCCACCGACCCGATTCAGGGCCGGTCGGTCTGGGTGCCGGACCTATCAAATGTAGAAATGTCTGGGTCTGGAAGATTCTGAGACTTGTCATGCGCGTTTTGTATGAGCCATGATGTCTGTGATGCATGCCCTAGCGTCACAGATTCTTTGAGGAGTTGTTGATGCCTATTCCGCATGGCAAATGCCCTCTTCGCGTAGCAAAAAACGCGTTCCCTTGGCTGCTCATGCAATACAGATTTTTTGAGAATTATGGCGATGGCAGAAACTTTTTGCTTCAAAACTTTTTTTTTTTTGGGCATGCGAATCACCCAGCGCGAAAAGTAGCCATCTTCTCAGCGGCAAATATCTCACGCATGAGCGCGCCGGCTTTGTGCCTCTCTGAAGCTCGTTAGCCTGTAAGCAGAAACAAGGAAAACTTCGCCGGCGGTTGCGTCCCGGAATTGGTCCGTGACGGCATGCGCAGGAGCCGGATAGCCACCGCATGGGATGGCACTGGTCGAATAAAAGAAATACGCAGCCAAACCGTGGCCGTTTGTGCCGCGGTCCGTGGCAAACAGCCGGCCCGTGCCCCGGCAGGCAAAAAATGTGGTCATACTCGGCTGTCAAACAGTTGAAAGCTAAGCGCGACGGCGCCGACGACTTAGCCGCCGCGGATACGCAGCGACTTCGGGTTTTGGTCTCGGGCCAGCCCTTTTCAGCCCCGGTTGCTTTGCAAAGAGCAAAAGAATCTTGTGTCTCCGGAAGCAAGCAAAAGCTTTCAAGGGGTACCCCCAGAGGCACCCCCAAACCCCCCCCCCTTTTTGGGTCTTCTCAGAAGGGTGCTCCCCATTGGTATCTCCACGAAGGGGGGTCCCCCAAACCCCCCCCCCCTCAAGGGGGGGCCCGAGCCCTCTTTTTGCTTCCGCAAGTTTGCAGCTTTTCAAAAGCAATGTCAGGAAAAATGATCACGCGAACCCCGCAAGGACGGGCTTTACACAATCGGGCCCGGAATAAACTGGGCGACTTTATTGGCTCTGTACGCCTACACTGTCTGTGCCTCGCAGAGTACTTTGGAAGCTATGGCACGCCAGGCCCCCTGGCCATGCTCGTTTGAGATTGCCGCTCTTGTGCGAACAGTCAGCATTGCGCTGCCAAATCCTGAACTAGTTCTCGATACGCCAAGGCCGCGGCAGGGGACCTAGCTGTCACGCACCTCGAGGCCAAAGGGCTCAGGGCGAATCCGTGACGCAGCCGACGGGCCGGCGGGCCTTGTGCCTGTATTCAGACTAGCTAGCTCAGCCTACAGAAAAAGCCGCCCTGCTCATGCGCGGAATATTCACCGCCCAGAAGGTGTCTGGTTTTCATGATGAATGAATTGCATGCCCAAAAAAAAAAAAGTTTTGGAGCAAAAAGTTTCTGCCATCGCCATAAGAATCCAAAGGCAGCATCACAAGTTCCAGAGTTGCATTCTTCCAGACCCAGACATTTTTGCATTTGATAGGACCTGTTACTGTACAACACCGCGGAAAAACCGTTCGACAACCTCGTGCAGAGCCAAGCGAGCTTGTACCGCAGCGGGCTTGTGATCTGGAGTCGACCGGGGATGACGAAGGTACTGAGGTTTGCTTCATTTACTTATGCCTGTGTCGTGAACGTTTTTCTTTTTTCGTTTCAGAAGTCGCCGCAGCTATCACGATGGTGTCGGAAAAATATCTCCTTGCCATGTTGTACGCTTTCTTGAATGATGTTGTCGTACGTACATATAGAGATTTTTGTTGTATCAAACCGCAGGCACTGTGCAACTTCAAGCTGGCCGATTTTCCCTACGACACGCAAACCTGCGAGTACAAGATGGGCAGCTGGGGCTACGACGCCGGCGCCCTAAAGCTGCTGCCCTACGACACCTCCGCACCAAATGACGACTTCACATCCGGCGTGGACATCAACGCGCAGGAGGTGATGGTCAATTCGGAGTGGAAAATCGCGAGAACAAAAGGGTATTTGGTCTCCAAGCTCTGGAACTGCTGCCCTTTCCCGTACGAGACGTTCCACTTTTCGTTAGAGGCCGAGCGGCAGTCGAAGGTCTACACGGCGACTTTCGTCGTCCCGGGTGTGATTCTGTTGCTGATGATGCTGCTCCTCGCCCCCTTCATCCCGTGGCAGAGCGGGGAACGGGTGGGCTACATGGTCACACTGATGCTTGCTCTCGTGGTGTTCTTGTTGATGGCGGAGGAGCACCTGCCGAAGGGGGAGGAATCAACCTGGTTGTCGAATTACCTGATGGTGTTGTTCTACATCGCCGTCGCAATTCTGGTTTTTATCATCGCGCTGACCCGGTTCGAGGTGTGGCGCCACGACAAGGCGGAGGAACAAGAAAAGCACCACCAGACCGAATTGCTGGAGCAACAAACGAAGTTGCTGAAGGAGTCGAATTCCCGCGGCAATCTCGGCGCAGCTTCCGGGAAGGCGCAGGGCTTTATGTCGCGCGGCGCGAGCCTGTGGGGACGGACGATGAGTAAGCTGAAACAACAAGCTTCGTCGAAGACGACGCCAGAGGGAGGCGGGGGTGGTGCGTCAGACGGAGGGGGCGTGAGCACAGGCTCGGGGGCTCCGGGGGGGAGTACAAGCATTGAGATGACCACGGAGCTGACGCCAGAACAGGAGGCACTGAAGAAGAACAAAGTTTTGCAAGGCATGTTCGGAAAGACGGAGTAGGTCGGACGATGAAGAGGAGTTTCTACCCAAATGAGAAGACGTATACTTAGCAGCTCCTCGTTTTATTTCCTTCTCATGTTTATGTTTTCGGCCGCTATCGTTATTCTTTTGCTGCTCGTTCCGTACTGCCGCGATATAGATACTCGAATCACATTTTCGAGGTTAAAAGCGGACTGAGCTAGAACGCAAAAATATTTTGATCATCTCCTACCTAGTAGTCATGATTTCGGGCTTATTTTTTCTTTTTCCCCCGTACCCTTTGTTTTTGAAGTTCGACTTTCTGATGGATCCTGAGCTATTTCGTAGCAGTGTTGAACGCCAATGCTAAGCAGGACCTATATTGATCGTCTACCACGAAGTTTGCGCATCCATTTCGGGGCGTTTTGTTTTTCTAGATGCCCTCGTCATGGTGGAGATTTTTCACTTAAGAGATACCGGTATCGAAAGATTTTCCAGCTTTCGTTTGAAAATAAGTACGACGTCATGACGAGGACTATGAGGCCTGAAGTTTTTTTTTTGTGTCAGTGCGTGGTGTTACATAAATAATAAATATTCGTGGTACGACGTCCGTGGTATAATTCCTATTCGTACGCGTGCTTCACCTTCATCGGTCGTGTGGACGATTTTTCGTGTGGACGATTTGCCGTAGGCTTGATCAGTCTAAGTAAATGAAAATAACTGGGATCATGCTCGCGCCCTTAGGGGTCGCTAGGTCGTAGTTCTTATGGCGCACTGCCTAAGGGTCATGCAAAAACTGTCGTTTGGGTGTGGAAGGCGATGTTGATCTTGTACCGCACAGGGGGTGCAGCGCCGCACAGTCGTCTGTTTATTGTATTCGTCGCGGCGGTCTTCTGCCTAGTATTCAGAATCTGGGTATAGAATTATCGTCGGAAACCAAGAACGGCAAGAATTATCGTCGCACAAAGATCTAGTTTTTCATTTTCTTCTTAGCCTGTACGTTTATTTTGCCTTTACTTTCGCAGCGGCTTTAATTACTTATGTCGTGTCGCGTACCAGTACAAGCTCATTTACTTCTTCCGACGGATGTAGTCCGGTGTGGCAACAACAAAATGGTGCTGTGTGACATTATTTAAGTGCCGCCTTCTGTTTGGCGTTCAGTGTTTACAGAAGATAGAACAAATATGGTGGATTTTATTATAGGCACGTAACTCAAAAACCATGTCGATGTCCTCTACCGAGCTGCTGCTCTCCGGCGCTACAGGGGAGGATGCCCTCCTGTGGACCGCTTTTTTCAACGCGTATTTGCAGACAAAAAAGGACAAATGCAGAGAAAATGCTATCTCTGAAGGACAGCACACGAACACTAACACGCAAGAGGAGAAGATCAAGACCATCTGGCGTTTTGGAGAAGAAAACATGAAACTGCTCGAAAAGCAGAAAGCGAACTCCCTCGCAGTTTCCGCCCTCGCCGCCGTGTGTACGGCGGTGTCTGCAGCAGTACTAATCTACTGGGGCGGTTGGAGAAGTGAAGATATCACTTCCAGAAAAAGGCTCGAAGAAGTCGAAGCTGGTTTTTTCCACTGCCAGCTCTCTCGCGACCAAACGGCGGTTGTGCTGGTCATCTTCGCGTCCTGTCTTCTGCATCTGATCGCGAATCTGGTTGAAGCAGTGGAAACCTACGGAGACGCGGAGCGGTGTGGCAATTGCTACTACATGGTAACGACGGACAACGTGTACGTTGTCCAGGTCGTAGGCACCAGAGCCTCCCCTCTGCAGGAAAAGTTCCAGCAATTTGGCAGTGTTCTCGGGATTTCCTTCTCCGAAGCGGAAGCCACTCAATTCTTATCAAATGTAAAAATGTCTGGGTCTGGAAGAGTCATGCTGTTTTTGCATGACACAGAAGGTCTGGCAAGGAAGCTCTAGCATTACAGGTTTCGAGAAGCTTCCGTAATGCCGAATCCGCATGACAAATCCCCCAATTATTCGGTGACAGAAAGTGGGCAGCTTTTGCTACCCATGCATGAGAGAGCTCTCTCTGTTCTGAAATGCGCATCACAAGTTGCATCCTTCCAGACTCAGACACTTTTGCATTTGATAATTCTTTCGGCACGACGACGGAAGTCACATCTTGCGGGAGCCGCTCAGTGACCTTGTGGTTTCTACTTGTGGCCGTGAAAGAAGCGGACGAACAGCGGAGGAGGAGTTGTTGCAAGGACTACATTGCGGAGCTGCTTCGTCTCCCTGGGGAATAAAAACGGGTTGTTTCAACTACAGCAGGAGTACAAGACCCGAGGTCAACTTTCTTCTCTTACTGCGGAGAAATAGAAAAAGCAGAGATGACACGACATCCGCTCCCGGTGGACCAAGATCATCACAACTCCAGCTCGGCCAGCACTTCGGACAGCAAGTGGTCTTCTGTGATCGAAACGCGGAGGCGCGGTTGATTGAACTTCTTAGCAGTAGTGGAGATCATGCTAGTTGCGGAGGCGAGAAGCTGCATCTACCAGACGCGTTTCACGGAGGACGTCGGACTGCTCATCAATCTGGTGCGAGTACTACTGCGGAGAAACAGAAAAGGTCGAAGCTCAGTGTCGCCAGTACAGAGGACCTGTGTGAGGAAAGCAGCAACGCGGTATGCCAAGCAAAAGTGTCGTTTTCAGGGATTTCATTTAGCATGGATGAAGGTTAATATTACAGTACTTACTCCTACTGCGGAAAAACTACCGGCTTTTTCAACAAACGCGATGCATACACTTCCTTGCTTCTCGGGGTCATGATCAGAGAGACAAAAATCTTTGCATAGTGGCAGTGACACTTTTGCGGTGCATATGCGGACGACGGTGACAAGAGCGGGTCGGAGCGGGACTCGTAGGAAGGTGGTTTCATTTTTTACACTTCAGAAGAAAAAATTGAAATTTTATCGAAATTTACCAACGCACGTGCATGAAGATAGTAACAAGTTCATACGTACACTAAATTGATCACAAAGGACTCTTTGTACATTTTTAGAAATTAACGTTGGAGGAACAACTGTGTATACAACCACTCGTTAAGTTGCAGAGAAAGAAGAAAGACATGATGCACTCGCAAATACAACAAGAAGCAACTGCTTCTATAAATATATCTCTTTGCGACAGTTGTAGTACTTGCGTTGTATCTTCTGCATGGCGGGGGTCGTATGCACATGGAGTTGAAACAGGGACACGCTTCGTTGCTTCGGACCACCTTTACACATCCATGCTCGTGTCATTTCCACCTGCTTTCGGGATGAACAAGAATTATCGGCGTTATTAGATGCTTGAACCCACGGGTTGCACGGGCGAAGCCAATTCGGTCTTTTAGTGGCGGGGTTTTAGGGGCAATTTTAGGTTCGGTCGTGTCTGGGTGATTTGGGTTTTGTTTCGAAGTTTTCGCTTGGTAGATTCAGTGGTTCTGCATTCAAGTAGCTGGTGCAAAGTAGCTGTGACAAACTGAAGGATAACATCCACACTTGTGTACCTGGGCTTTCCAAGCACTGTATCGCGGCGGAATTCTCAGCAGGTATTGTTGTCAGCAGGTACTTCCATTTCCTTAGCTGTGCTAGTTGTCTTTTTTTTTCAAGTCGCGCTTGCCTGCGCACGTGGCTACGTAATAAATACCCGGTTTTGATGTTGATTCGCTCTAGATTCAGCCCACAGTACCATGTCCTGGGACGAGCTTCCACCGCCGATCCCGCTGGTCTCCCCCACGGTTGAGAATGAATCCTGGGACGAAATCCAGCCGCCGACTCTTCCCGGCGGACCAGGCGGGGACTGCTCGTGGGGCGAGCCGAACCGCATAGAAGGAGCTCCCGAGGATTCTTGGGGAATGGTCGTCGGCAACGGTAGTTCTGCTTGGGGTAGTAGTACCCTCCCCCGGGAGGAGAATTGGGCGACCTCTACGGCGGAAAACAACGATGGTGCTTACTCCACTTGGGGAGATGATCTCGAGCCGCCTGCCGCACCAGTTGCTACAGGAGAGGACGACGGGTGGGATGTTGGGGTGGACTTGCAGCTTGCGGTGGAGACCACGACTGCGGGATCTAGAAGAAGTACTTGTTGGGGTGCGGGGGACTGGGACCACCAAGCGGGCGGCGCGGAGAATCATCATGTCGGAATAAACGAGGATTGGGGAGGACGAGCGCCGGGACAAGAAGATACAGAAGTCCTGCTCCAAGAATCGACGCATACTAAACGACCAGAGGAACATCAAAATGATTGGGGTAGAAGTTGTACGACGGCGACACCAGTATTCCAGCAACCAGTTGGCGTGGACGTGGGGACGTGCGACAACAATTCAAATCCCAGTGTGCAGCACGATAGCCAGGTCGTCAGACGGCCAGAGCGGCGCGAGGAGTTAGCATGCGGGCGAGATGAAAAAGATGAAGATGATCACTTGTCTCCCCCGGAGGACGTCGGAGAGAACGACAAGGCTACTTTATTTTTGCAGCAGCAAGATGATGATGAGCCACCACGCCCGTTCACGGCGACCACATTGCATCCACAGGACCACCACCCAGAAGAGCCGTCGGGGCTTATTTTTCCGTGCGCGAAAGTACTAGTGGAGATGCAGCCCTCCACGACGGCTGTTCTTGTCGCAGACCAGCAAAAAGAATGTGACACCTCTAATGTGGTCACACTGAAGAACATCCGGGATAAGTTCGAGGGCGTGTCGCTCCCAGCAAAGGCGGAAACAACATCGCTCAATGTGGCGCAAGTTGGTGTTGTGGATGGCAGTACCAAGTCACAAAAAGACGTCGACTCAGATGTCGAAATGGCGCCGGCAGATGAACAACATGGTCAGACATACAGGCTTCAAAATGGCTCCAGAACTCCAGGCGAGGCCATGCCAAAGCGAGAAATAAAGGCGGTGCCGCTTGCGGATGATGACGTTCCGATGGGGCAAGAAGTTGGCTCCACCTCTTCTCCGGGAGTGCCAAGTGGTGCGGCTGTTGCGCCTTTTCTCGAGCGTGGTCGTGCCGGTAGTACCAAAGACGTAGCAATGCCACAGGCGGACCAGGACGGAGAGGATGTTCTGGGGATGGAAGTGAACAAAGTGGGCGCTGTAGACGGTTTTCTGGAAGAACAGCAAGCACCAGCAGGAGATGAAAAGCCACAACTTTTCGAGCAAGAGGAAAAACCGCAAACACGGGTCGCTGAATCCCCAGCTACGGAACAAAAAGATCAGGCCACGTCGCAGAAGATTGCATCCGCTACGTCCTCCATAGGTGCTGTGGCGGCTGCTGTAAAAATCGAAACAACGATAAAAGAACCCCCGACTCCTGGTGCTGGACGGGACGAGCAGCAACCCGCAGAAGTCTCTGGTGCCGCTCCAGCACTGCCGGGACCAGAGTTACCGCCCAGAGTAGAAGACCCGCACACAGATAATATTAAACACTCGATGAAGTTTGACCCCTTTGCCATCCAAGCGGAGCAGGACAATGTCGAAGGTGTCGGAGGGGAAGATAATGAAATGCAAGACGAACAAGATGAAGATTCACCACAGCACCAGATGTTGGAGCTGAATTTCGGGAAAACCAACCGCCGGGCGCTGTTCACCGCTTCCATCGAATTGAACGACAAGATGCAGAAAGATTTCAATCTGATCGAGGGCAAGCACTACAAGCTGAACGTGCTGAGTGGCTCGCTGCTGTTGGGTTTTAGGACAAAGGAAATGCGGGAGTTTGTCAGGGAGCAAGCGGAAGGCAGCGAGATTCTGGAGAAAGTCGGAAGCCTCACTGTGGAGGAAGTTATTGCCGAGGACTTCGAAAATGAGGAGGCGGTAGAGAAAATGGAAATCGAGATCGACAGGCTGGTGGAGAAGGAAGACGTTCCCGAGTGGAATCCGCCATGAGGGAGCTCCTGCGTGGACCGGCGTCGTGTACCGCAAGTTCGGCCCTCCTGGTGCTTCCACGATTAAGTAGATCTTGTACATGTTGGACAGCCAACCCCTGCACTGCTGCTGCTTGAATGAAAGAAAAGCGCAGCCAGCCCGAGGCCGGGTGTGCTGCGCGTTGAAGCCAGTGGAGGGCCCACGCCTTAACAGGCGAAACAGACGGCGCGCACGGCTTTCGAAAAATTCCAAGCCGTGCGCGGCACTGCCGGCGACATTGATGCCGCGGCCGCAAATCTCCTGGGGAGCTGGGTCGCGGGAGGCGGTTCTTCGCCTTCGGCGGTTTTTCCTTGAAAATGATAGAACTCCTCGTGAATCCGCAATCCGAAATCCCTTTTGGGGCCCCCCGAGGGGTCCCCCAAACCCCCCCTCTTTTTGGGCCTTCGCAGACAGCTAGTCCCCCTTGGTATCTCCACGAAGGGGGGTCCCCCAAACCCCCCCCCTCGAGGGGGGGCCCGGCCCCCCTTTTCGTTTCCGCAAGTTTGCTGCTTTTGGCGAGCTGCGTCCTTGAAAATGATAACCCGGATGCGGCCCCGAAGGAAGGTAGCACAATGCGGCCGGGAATAGAATCAAAGACGACAAAGGCGTGAGCCTACTCTGTTTTTCGTTCGTAGGGCATTGCGAAAGCTAGGGCGGGCCACGTCTCGTAGCCGTGCTCGTTTGAGACTGCCGCTCCCGAGCGAACCAGCCAGGGCTGCGGTGACTTATCTTGAGTCCCCTTTCGATACCCCAGAGCCGCGGCGGGGGGCTGGCGTGCTACTTACCTTGAGGCTAAAGCGTTAAAGACCGAACCCATGGTAGCGTCTGCAGCCGGGGCGGCCTTCCTTCTGCCTTCGGGCCAGCAAGCTATCACCTAAGCCGCGCCGAAGCTATTCTGCTATTCTACTCTGCGCATACCCGCTGGCATGCCTATAAAGTGCCGTGAAATCATATGTAGCAAAAAAAAAAAGTTTTTTTCAAAAAGTCTTTGCCGTTGCCATAGAGTGGAATCCGCCATGAGGAAGTGGAAGCTCCTGCGTGGACCGGCGTCGTGTACCGCAAGTTCGGCCCTCCTGGTGCTTCCACGATTAAGTAGATCTTGCTCGTACATATAAGTACTACAACAGAAATTCGATCATCTGCTTCTCCCTGCACGTCGCGATCCGAGATTTTTTTTCAAATTTGCAACACTTACTCGCAAAAAGCAGACTGTATGATCATCTAGGTCGTAGTTTCGAAAGGAACACAATGATATTGGAAAATGAAGAATGAAAATCGAGGAAACAAAGCAGTTCCGAAATAACAGGTAGAGATGAGAATGTCTGCACTTGAAACGCAGTCAATCTGTTTTGCCATCGTTTTGTAGTCATTTGATGTTCATCTTCATCCCTTTCATGGCATTGTGTTTTTTCCATCCTACGACAGGCTCGAGAGTCGCGGTCGTGTGCAATCAATGAAATTATTAGGGAGTCTTAGTCACGAGTTGTTTCATAAATGTACAATGCACTAGAAGCGCAAAAGTACCACGTAGCCTTTTTTCGCACTTCTCATAGCCAGTTTCAAGAGTTTTCGTACGAAAGGTTGCAGATGCACGCAGTGAATAATTACAAATCATCACTGGTTAGCGCCAACACAACTGCTTGAGCAGCGAGCAAAACTATGTGACCGAAGGAGATGAAATAGCGCAAGAATTATCCGACCACCGGCTTTAAAGTATTTTTTGCACACGACGAGTCGTACCCAAAGGAGAATAAAATTTCTTATTTCAATTTGTGTCACTGAGAAAACTCCACATTATCGGAGAAACGAAGCACAGAAAATGAAGGTGACTTTGAAGTGTGAAGGCTTGAGCCCGCTGGCCATTCGGGTCACGCTGCCGCAGAAGCAGTTACACGATATGACGGGCGACAAGTTGCTCGCTTTGTTCGCGAAGCAACACGACCGAAAATTTGCCGCGGAGCAGCCGGACTCCACGCCCTTTTGTTGCGCGGACCACTTTTTGAAAATCATCGGCGGCAACCGCCTAGCGTCCACCGACCTGGTTGCGGACTATGTGACCGACGGGGCGGAGGTGCTCGTCGTCCACAAGGACGGGCCGGCGGAAGCGAGTGCGGCTGCATCTGCTTCCACACCTTCGACGAGAGCATCGGCATCAGCTTCGCCGGTTGTCGCTTCGAAGAATAATATGACCACCTCTACTGCTGGCGACGCTGCAAATGGTACTACGACTTGTACCTCTGCCGATCCGGAGGGCGCTGCCAAGCAGGCCCGCAAGGCGGCCGAGGCGGCCGGCAAGGTGCGGTGCAAGAATTTCGGGTGCAGCAAGTTCTTCGACCCGGTAACGGAGGGCGGCCCGCAGGAGTGCCGCCACCACAAGAGCCCGCCCATCTTCCACGAGACGGCGAAGTGGTGGAGCTGCTGCCCCGACAAGAAGGCCTACGACTGGGACGAATTTCAGAAGATTCCCGGCTGCCAGTGGGGGCCGCACAGCACCGTGGCCGCCAAGAAGCAGGTGCTGGGCGGCACGGACCTCCGCGAGGCCAACGCGCCGCAGCGCATCGACCAGGACGGCAACGCGACGCTGGAACCGCGGAAAAAGCTCGACCTGTTGCGCAAGGCCATGGCCACCTGCGGTGTCGACGAGGCAAAGTTCGACAAGGCGTGGGGCCAGCTGATGGTACGACACGGCGGCAAGCTGGAAATATCAAATGCAAAAATGTCTGGGTCTGGAAGATTCTGAGACTTGTCATGCATGCGTTGCATGACCCAGGATGTCTGTAGTGCACGATCTAGCATCACAGATTTTTAGAGGTCTTCCTGATGCCTCCACCGCATGAGAAATGCCCTTCCCGCGTAGCACAAACTAGACTCCTCTTGCTGGTCATGCAATACAATTTTTTTTAGAATCCAAAGTTAGCATCACAAGTTCCAACCTTCCATACCCAGACATCTTTGCATTTGATAGGAAACGGTGGTGGACAAGATTGGCGCGGCCTGCGAGCGGGCGCTGGTGGAGGTCACCGAAGGCAAGCACTTATGCGTTGCAAATATGTCTGGGTCTGGAAACTTGTGATGCTGGGTGGCGTATCATGATGAGGCCACAAGTGCTGGCTCAGCATGACAAGTTTCTGAGCTTCTAGGTGTTGCCTATTCTGCATGACAGAATGCGTTTCTGCATGACAGAAACGTGGAGCTCTTGGGTAACGTGCATGACAGATTCAAGAGTCATGCCAGACAAGCATAACAAACATGCATTCTTCCAGACCCAGACATTTTTACACCTGATAGCACGAAGATGAAAACAATTACATCAGCGCCGGGGGAGGTGCTGGCTCCTCGACGTCCCCGTCTCCACTAGTAGCAGCGACAGGAAATGAAATGATGACCGATTGACACTGACGACCCGATTCACTTTTGTCTTGCAGGATCCGTCGAAGTCCGACCACGTCAACATCCGGGAGGTTCGCGAAGATCTTTTTGTTTGTGTGCAATTATATCTTCTATGTGCGGCGCCCCCCGACGAGCTCGTCGTCTTTCTTGTGATGAAAGTGTTAAAAAAACCTCTACTTCCCCAGGAGGACCTCGCGCGACCTATGATATCTTTTGTACAACAACTTCCGCGACAAAAACGATCGACAAAAAAAGACGCACTTCTGCAGAAAAGATTGCACTGCCCCGCAGATTTATGTCAATGATGTTGATTCATTTCATTTTCTTTCAGTAGCACCGTCAAGCTCTACATCCGGATGTACGAAGAAGTCGTCGCTCTTGGCATGAAGCTGCACTATCACAAATGTATAAAAGTATTGAAATCGGTGGGAACAGAGACAGACGGATCATCATGTAAAACTAGATCTTTTATTTTCTCTCTAAAGAATTTCAGGCTGTTGGTAGGAGAGGTCGCAGAATGGTGGAGAGTGTAGCTACGTCGGCGTGCATTGCACGGTCTTGTCGGAGGCTCGTTGAGAATCCTGAGTAAAGAAGTGACGATCTAAAGATCTCAGGAAATTACACAAATGATGCTCCCGCCATTATTCCATCCTGTCGTGCTTGTTCTATCTTGACAAAGTGGTTCTATCTAACTCCATTCGTTGGCATGTCTTTACCATATCTATTCGTTCCTTTACATTCATCAGCAGGTGGAAGAGTTGAAGCAAACTGCCGTGTGTAGAAGAAGTAGTAAAGCTCAATAGCTTTTTGTTTTCCGATACCCGTAAGCCGAGCCAGACCCAGATTCTTGTTAGACAAAAACCGCGTCCGAGTAAAAATATATCGTAATGATGTCGTACATATGGCGCTCTGCTATCGTTAACTTGACAATATCTACACCATCTGTCTGCAGTAGAGTGGGCTCTGTTCCACTTCGTAGTTGCTTCCCATGATAAAGAATCTCTTCGAATGATGATGAAGTAGCTAATCATGGCAGCTGCACAAAACGAGGAAACAGACGCCGGGCCGCGTGTATTCACGACGACGGTGGAGTTCTTTCCCCCGTTTAGGGGATGCAATGTCACCGAGGTTGAGACATCGAGTCAAGATGACGACATCTCCGAGGATTTTCTCACGGGAGGCCCCGCAAGACCACAGGAGGAGGAATCTCTTTGTTCAGAACAGGACGTCACTCTCGTGATTACCACCTCGGCCATTCCACTGAATCCCAGCACCAAGCTGATCGAGGTGCTGCTGCAGAGTTTCGCGCAAAACCTGAAAGTGGACGAAGGTCGAGGTGCAGAAGCAGGCCGATCTTCGAACAATTATGGAAGTAGGAGCACTAGTACAGGACCGGCAGAAGAACAAGAAGTTGTACGAAGGCGCGGCAAATGGAAACCGATTCCTGTGCACATTTTTTGTGACGGCTACACCCGGGCGGACGTGCTGGATAGCAAGGGGCGGCAGCCAAAAAAGCCCAGTTGGAAAAAATGCAGGATAACGGAAGAGCAAGCGGCAAATTACGAGCAATTCGTGGAAAATCTGTGCGATCCGGGGCTTTATGAGAGGGTGTTTTCCGCCGGCACAAACACAACAGCTATGAAGAAACTGTTTCACCCAGAAATACGCGTCCACCGAATTGGCAGCGCGGGGAACTGGGGCTTTGCGAAAGTTATGCAGTTTGCCGTGGAGCAAGTCGTGCGGACGAAATACGTCCTGGTCGCCCAGCATGACTACATGCTGATCCAGGCGTTTCCGTTAAGCGAGGTGCTTCAAGCGATGGAAGACCACCCCGACCGGCTCGGCTACGTTGGGTTCGACTCCTTAACAACGACAGAATGGTCCTACAAGGTCGAGAGGCAACAGAAGCTAGTAGGCGCAGCGACATCATTTTCAGCAGCAGCAACTACAGCTTTGGGTGAAGAGAGGGATCAGAAATATAATTACGCTGCTGGGCCCTCGTCGTGCGCAGGGTTGTTTGCAGATGAAAATCCAAATGCGGCGGAAAATGCTAAAATAAATTCTTGCCTGGCAGATGTAGTTGAGGCTCATGACAGAGACAAGAACCTCCCCCCGGGCCGCCCGCACTGTGCGAAAAGCACCGCCAAAACTACATCAGTGAGTACTAAACTTGTCAAGAAGGACGAGCTGCTGGTCGAAAGGATTCACGGCCTGGAGTTCCAGAAGATGCCGATTTGGTATGACAAGACGCACCTTTGCCGCGTTGCCACGTACCGGCAGCTGTTCGCGAAGGTCAAATTCCCCCCGCCGAGCTTTATCGAGGACGTATTTTTCAACGAAAGACTGTCGAGCTACGAACTCGGACTGCCCTGCCACGTGCTGCGGCAGAATATGGGCCCCGTGGTGTACCACCTCAGCGGCCGCAAATTGGCGGAGGCAGAAGGCGGGCGAGGGCAGGCGGGCGGCAACACGGATCGTGCCAAGGGCGTTCACGGGAATGGCGTCGGGCAGCACAAAGAAGACCAGGAAAAAGAAGCACGCGACGCTGACGGTGCGGTGCAGTACTGGGCTGCACGAACAAGAAAAATTGATGCTTCAACATATGAAATTCCAGGTGGCCTACGTCTACGTGAAACAGTAGGCATAGCACCTGATGCCGATGAATACCAAGGCAGTGGCGCAAGCACGATTTCGAAAGCCGACGTCCAAAAAAGCGATTTGTATCGGGAGAACGAAGTTGCTTTTTCTATCGGTAAGAATAATGCAACAAATGGATTAAGTCCCAGCGCTAGCGCATCAGATTCAGTAGAAGGAGCAGACCGAAAACCGAGACAGATCGTCCCGCAGGACTCTCAACATCCATCCGCCGCCCCGCTTCCTTTCTACGGCGCCAAGTTCGACATGTTCCAGCCTCGCCCGCTGGAGCAACTGAACAAAAAGTTTACCGGAACGTGTTTCCGGTGCGGGAGGAAAGGCCATAGCTCAAAGCACTGCACAACCGCGGAAAATAACGGAACAGCTGCTGAAGATGAACAAACTGTGGGAAGTTCTTACGCAGAGCCCGCTGCGACGACGTTGCCGCTCCAGCTTGCAGTCACGTCCACTGCATGAGGATTGTCGCGTGCTGACATGAGCGGAAGTGCAGATGTTGTAGCGGAAAGTGTCGTGAGTAGAAGTAGTTCTAAGCGCCCTTGTTGTGATAGGTCTGTTGTGTTGTATATCACAGAAGGTGTGGCACTGGCAGCGTTCGAAGAGAAAAATAAGCGACGTTTTTGAGTACTTCAGTGATTATATATATAGCCATTTGATTCGGCGAGCGACAGTACGTGCCAACAGTGTACGTGCTGTGCCGAGTCGTCTACGCGACATTATATTTCAGCATATTTATAATTCCGTCTTCACAGAAGTATTGTGCGGCGAGAAAAAATATTGATATTCCACTCTCATTGAAGAAATTGTGTTCGTGTTACGCCCCTGACGAGGTGGTAGCTGCAAAAACCACGTTTTGGCGGTTTCAAATGAAGTTTCAAGCCAGATTGTGGCTGCGACGTTCTATCCCGTTGGTTTCTTCTTCGTCTGCTTCGTAAAATGCAAAGTCCTCACGAGGACATGCATATGGTGTTGCTGTTGGTTCCAATTGGTGAAGATGATGGAAAGAAAACAACGAAAATTCAACCATTGCTGTGACTTGAACTTGAACTTGTAAACTGAAGTACAAGTACCACTTATCATTAATGCCACGACATAAGCGATTGCGATGCTAGTCGTGGTTGGTGGTACCACTTAGAGTGCCATTTCACGTTGGACTGAAAATTAAATTTCAGGACAAAAGAGGCAAGTACGTACTAGAGACAGATGAACTAAAAAAACACCTCCATAACGGCCTTGTAAACTTCATTCTAGTTCTTGGCGCGTGAAGATCTCTGCTCGACGGCGAAGTGGTGCTGGTGGTGGTTGCCTTCGTTTTTACTTCTCGGAATAGCAGATAGAAGAGACTAAAAAGTCCGAATCAGAATCAGTCATAGTCTTTCTGAACGTGTCACTTCTGCTTTTTTTCGATTGACCAGCATCGCACAACGTGCACAAACACGATGCGGCGTAGCGTCGGTCTGGTGCTCCTCGCCGTGGCCGCATCGGGGGTGGAGATCGCCAAGAAGCACCACAAGAAGCACCACCACCACAAAAAGCACCACAAGAAGGCACAGGCGGTGGCGCTGGTACTAAAGTATGGCAACTCGTGATCACTATCTCCGAAGGGGACGACCTAGATGCAATAGCAATTCATCTAGAGTTTTTCTCATGGCTGAGTCGTGTTGCACATTATCACTAAGACTAAAAAAGCTGCAGCTCGTCTAGGTGTTTGAGGACAAGACGAACTACTTCGCTACTAGTCAGCAATGCTCCACCCTGTTGCGCGTACGTAAGAGGTTCTTGTTGTGCACGGCCTTGAAAAAATAAGAAAACCATAACACAGCACGCCATCACAAAGTCCACCATCGAAGGGAAAAGTAGTGCGAAGCAAGCGCCCCCGCCTCCGCCCGCCGCCGCGGGTCCACCACCGCCCGCGCCCAAAGCGCCCGCGCCGGAGCAGGTGCCGTCCGCCGAGCAGCAGATCATGGGCAAAATGAAGCAGCTGGAGGACAAGTTGGAGCACTCCGCATCTATCAAATGTAAAAATGTCTGTGTCTGGAAACTTGTGATGCTAAAATGTGCATGATGAAAACACTTCCGAATGCAGTCCGGCATGACAACTTCCCAAAACGCTTTCTCATAGGCAATCCGCATGAGAAACTGCGTTTTTGCATGACAAAAGAGGCTGCGACTTTTGTTGGTTATGCAGTACAGATTTTCTAGGTATGCTACTTCAATTCAATTCAATGGAAAGCTAGCATTACAAGTTCCAACCTTCCAGACCCAGACATTTTTACAATCCATAGCATCGCACAACGTGCAAAATCGTGTGATGATGACGGGGAAGCTGGACGTGAACGGGCCCCTCCCCGCGGATTTCAACGCCCTGTTCGCGCAGTCCGTGGCCAAAGCGACCATGACCAGCGGACTCAAGTGTCCGGCGGCGGAGATCAAAGTGCTGGAAACCAACTATCAAATGCAAAAATGTCTGGGTCTGGAAGGTTGCCAGGTTTGTCATGCATATTTTACATGACTCAGGATGTCTGTAATGCATGATCTGGCATCACATATTCGGAGAGGCCTTCCTGATGCCTATCCCGCATGACAAATGCCCTCCCCGCGTAGCACAAACTGGGCTCCTATTGCTGGCCATGCAATACAGATTTTTTTAGAGTCCAAAGGACTGAGGATTGTTCCATTTTCCCTTAGTAGCATCGCCTCAGGCTTCCAGGCTTCCAAAGTTAGCATCACAAGTTTCAACCTTCCAGACCCAGACATTTTTACAGATGATAGCAACGTCCTGCAAACGTTTCTCCAAGTCACTACGGAAGTGGCAGATCGGAAAGAATTCTCAAAATGAAATTCATTTTTTGCCATGCATAAGATCAATAGAAATACACAGGAGCATTGTAGTGGTTCGCATTTACATATGCGTCGCCATTTTTTCTATCCGATTTTGCAATTTTCCGATCTGACGCATCCATAGGCACGGCTAAGTCCGATGTCCTGGTCGAGTTGGTGTTTCAGGGGCCATATGCTCTGCAAAAGTGCGGAATCTCGTTGGAACTGCAGTTGTCCTGCATCACAAATATCTTTCCCAACGACCTGAATGAGCCCAAATTTGGGATCGGTTATTAATTTCCTACAACTGTTTTTACGTTGCTTTTGCAATGCATAGGCGGGCCCCTTGCGTAAACGCGGTTCAGCAACAGGCCGGCATTCCCGACAGCCCGCTTGTCCGGGACACACCTCTGTACTCATTTCTGGTCGCGAAGGATGACCCGGCCGAGGCAGCGTCGGAGCCGCCGAAGAAGGTAAGTCAAAGTAACTACTTTTTAGCGATCTGTCATGTGCTGAATGCGGAAAGAGAAGGACCAGCAAAAGGGGATCTTTTGTCATGCCGACGAATCAACTACGTTGCATATTTGCTTCCAGCTTGCCCTTGCTCTGGCGTGTTTTGCCTATTATTACGAATTTTCAATCGCTTGGTTTGGGTAGCTAGTTGTACACGCATGATCCACGACGAGCTGATGTTCTTTCAAACAGGACGACGTTGGGGTGGACATCGACACTGAGATACGTTTCCGCGCAGTCTCCCTCCGCGCCAAGTGGCCTTGTCCGTTGCTTGGCTCGGACCGCACGGCCATGCAGCCCCTGGCACTTTTGCTGGGATTTGTGGTTGCGGGGATCCGGGTTGCCGACATTGGTGCGTTGCCAGCGGCTTGGGTTCGGGGCCTGGGGCCAATAGAATTCGGACCGGGGCCATATTCTATTTGGCCGGCTGGCCATTTTGGCGCACGTGCGCGATTTCTGGCGGGCCGGCCGAATAGAATAGGACAGGCGCCCCAATTCTATTGGCTGGGGGGGCCGCACGGGGAGGGGGGGCGGGGTTGGGTCTGGGGCGAGGTGGAAGCGAAGGGCGCGCCGCCCTTGTGTCTTGTGTGCAATGTGCGTGGCGCGCCCCCTCCCGATGGGCCCGCACCGGGTTCATTGTGCCGCCGCACAGCCCCGCTGGCTGCCCGCCGACGAGGGGCCCAGTGCCAACGCAGCGGCGCCCCGGGGTATTGTGGCTCCTGTGTCTTTGTCGTTTTGCCTCTTTGTGGTTGGATGTGAAAGGCAGCGGGCACGAGCCGGCAATTTGCATGGGCAGCGTCCGGCAAATGGGGTGGCTGTGTTGCCCGCTGCCGCTTGATAGGCCCGGGGGCTATTTTCGTGCGCGGGCCCACAGTTGTTGGAGTTGTGGCGGCCAGGGGGTTGTGAATATTTTGTTGGCCATGCCGCTAATTTACCGGGCAATCTACGGCCCGAGGATGCATATACCAGCTGGGCGGCCGCACTGCAGTTCAATTTGGTGCGCCGTCATGTCGCCCGGACAAGCGAAGGGGCGCGGCGTACCGCGCTCCAACAATTGCTCGCGCATTGGGGTTCTCCGGATCTGCATCAGCCCAAACAGTTTGGGTGGAGGGCCAAAAAAGCCATATCTATTGGGGTTGCCACTACTGCGTTTTTGCATTTTGTCCAATCATAAAACAGGACGACGTTGGGGTGGACATCGACACTGAGATGCCGTACGGCGAATTGGAGCCCTACGCATTGCAACTATGTCTGAGTCTGGAACACTAAACTTGTGATGCTAGTTCGTGAAACAATGGTGGGCGCACTGCAAAAATACGCAGTTCTTACGCGTGAGAAGTTTTTGAGCGCTTATTTTTATCGCCTTCCGCATGGGTTACTGCATCTTACTTTGCATGACAGGCAATAGGATTAGGTGGTCTTTGTCCTGCTTATGCATTTACAGATTTAATAACAAGAGGAAGAGTCATGTGTTGAGACAAGCATGACAAAATTGCATTCTCCCAGACCGAGACATATTTGCAATGCATGAGCGGTTCGGCCGCGAGGACACGGCGCAGGAGTTAACCGAGGACTCCATCAAGGAATCGGATGCGATGGTGGACCAAATCGAGCGGGCCCAGGTGGCGGAGGAAAAGCGGTCCGTGTTTCGTGCCTTGACCCGGTTGCGCGGCGCGGCCATCATATCCTACAGAAAAGGACACCAGTACCAGAAGAAAACGAAATTTTTGTGGCTGCTACTTTATATTTTTAGGGCACAAAGAACAAGAACTCTTTGCCTTTGGTGATGCTGATCCTGATCCGGAAAAAGACTTTTTACCGTCGATTCACATGACGATGATGATGATGATGATCATCCTGATGATCCGCACGAGCGAGGAGAACCTGTCATGCAAAATATGCTTAAACTGAGATGCGGAAAAGGCAAAGGGACCAGCTTCAGAGACGTTGTACCCAGAAGATTTGTAAAAATACTGAACAGCAACAAACAAAAGCCGTGGTCATCTGTTATCACAGAAAAAACTGCATTTTCTACGCATGACACGGGTGTGCTTTTCATTTTCTGCAGGATACATCACCTCGTTCGACGGCGTGGCAAGGTCGTACCCTGTGTAAAAACGTCCTCACCCCATTATACATGGAATTTGTAATGCTAATTTCGAATATCCTATTTGTTTGTGATGCTAATTTCGAATAGTAATATTAGACTCAAGTCAAGATATCAGTTTTGCTACACAAGCCAAGAAGTTTATTTGGGCGTTGCGCATTATGTTGAAGTGTAGACGGGTTTAGCTTCTAGTGCGATCATCTCATCCTGCATATAGCATGACAACTTCCCATGATCCTCAGGTAGCACTAGAAAAGGCTCCTCATGTTGTCGGGGCGGCGCATGAGAAATATTTTGGGCATGATGCAGACTTGCATGTTGCATGACAGCAAAAATGGGGTGGGGACGTTTTTTCTGCGGATAGGTCGCAAACCGGAAACATCGACGAGTACAACAAGTCCCACAAGTGGCGCCGGACCCTATCACGCGCAAATATGTCTCGGGCTGGAAATTTGTGTTGCTGGTACTCGCATCGCAGAGTAGTACATATTAACAGCATCTTGTTGTTAATAAATTTTGCGAGACTTAGTTATAATTATTGCAGACCCATTCGTTGTAAACACAAGACGCATGACAAACAGGCTCCCAGGACGAGAAAAATGCTGGCGACTCATATCTTCCATGCATCACAGATGATCGTCCTGGCATCTTTCAAATCTGGCATAAGAAATTCAGACCCAGCCATTTTTGCGATGCATAGACCCACCCCTTGCACCACTTGGCTGCGGAGGAGTCGGACGTCACCAAATGGGCCTTCCCGGCCACCTCGGATATCAAATGTAAAAATGTCTGGGTCTGGAAGGTTGGAAGACTTGTCATGCGGGTTTTCCATGACGCGTGAGGTCTGTAATAGATACATGACCCAGCATGACAGATTCTTCTCGACCCCTATCATGCCTCGTCTGCATGAGAAACTCCCTCTCAGTTTGGTCAAAAGAGGAGAGCTTTTGGTAATCATGCAACACAGATTTTTGCGCTATCGAGAATTAGCATGACAAGTTGCATTCTTCCAGACCCAGACATTTTTACAATCCATATCGGACTAAAGAAAACAAACAAATGTTTTCTGAGAAAAATTGAAGCGCCTGTGCGCAGAAGACGGGACCACTGTCGTCCTCTTCTCGTTCTTGTAGGATGAGAAAAAACAAAAAGTATCAAAGAGCGTGCTGTTTCCCCATTTTTTCCTCGGAACGACGATGAAAGTAATTCCTTTGCAAACATTTCAAAATGTCTCGTTTCTTTTCCTGTCTTCGATATTGGCATTATGGAAGGAAGACGAAGAAGCAGTTTGTCTTCCAAAGCCAGCACCGCTGCGAAAGCAAGCCGATCGTCTTCGTGCGGGCGGTACAGCAGAGTAGTACGAAAACAAAAAGCCGAGAAAATGATCCTTTTTCCAGAAGAGCCGGTTGACGTCGCTGCTATGAACGATTGTTGTATATGAGTGTATGTGTATCACAAACCGATCATAGATCCACATTAGTTTTGTAGCCTGGAGAACAGTATCAGAAGCTTGCCCCCGCAATTGCATAAATGCAAAAATGAATAAAAGGGCGCAACTGAGCCAAAAAGATCTGTAGTTTTTCACGACGAGTAGCACGACGCTTCATTCTACTGTCCATGAACAGATTTCTTGATTTCTCTGCTCATTTATTTTTGCATTGAAAGCAATCGGCCGATGTAAAAGTGCTAGCTACTTTTTCTGCATGATGAAGATCGTGGAGTGAGGAACGAAGATGAAAAAAGGAGATCATTTTCGTGGTTGAAGGACCAGTCATTTCGATTTTCGTGTGGTTCTTTCGATCATCCTCATCGCTTTGCCCTCGATCATCGCTTTGCCCTCGATCATCGCTTTGCCCTCGATCATCGCTGTTGCTCGGCGAGAGTTCTCGATTTCTCGAGTTCTGTGTCTGTCGAGGAATGCGCCTCGATTTGTCGATCGCACACTGAGGAAGGTACCAAATGTTGAAATAAAGCTCTTTCCTATTCAGTATTTCTCGATCGATTATAGGCCTCTGAGTCTGCTGCCAAGAACTTGTCATGCTCAGAACTGAGGAGAAGACGAAGAGAAATAGCCACCAGGAGGCATGATGTTGACAACCTTTCAGAGCACTTTCTCATTTGTAGTGCGCGTACAAGTTGTAACAAAAACCGAGGGAAACGGAGAAAAACACCAAAAGGCTGAGAGAACTCAGACCCAGAGATTTGTAGTGCGCGTGGCATGAGGACAAGCTGGGCTTTATTTGTTGCTCACACCACAACACATTCACAGATTTCTTCGTATTTCTTCGTAGGAATCTACTAAGACCGGCATTGCAAGTTCGAGGCCTTGTTTTCTAGACCCAGACAAGTCATAAGTAGGAAGAACGGAAGATCGTTGCGCAAACTCACTACTGGAAGGAACAGGAGGCTTTTTTTTCTGCTCTCAAAGCGGTCCTGGCGCGGGGGGACGAGCCAGAAATAAGTAACGTTGTTCATTGAAACGTAAAGAAAACTTATTGCGTTGATGCAAAAATTGCAAAGAAATTGCAAAGTGACATTTTCGATAGAACTCCCTGGAAGACCTAAGTGTAAGTCCGAGAACTTTATTGCCGGACGAGCTTTGTATCAACTCGCAAGAGGAAATAAAAGTCTATAGTTTGTAAAGAAGCCCGGCTCTCGGATTCTTTTATTTCGGAACACCGACTGGCGGATCACTCGAGAAGTCAAACCGGCAAAGACTGGGGCCAGCAGATCGGCGGGCCTGTAGTCGCACTATGACTTTCCCAGGCGAACAACGCGAAGCGGCGACAGTAAGGACCTACTGAAGAGGAAAGCAAGTAACGTATCGCATGAAAAAAGTGCATCTGCTTCTTCGCGGTGACGATTTTCAATTTTTTTTGTGACAGGCTCGGTCGTCGTGATCCGCGTATTCGGATTGGAGCTGTAATGAATGTTTTTCATCCTTACTCATGCATTTATTTTATTCTGCAACGGTACAACCACATCACGACTTCCGCACGGGATAATCCTCGTCTGCATGTGATAATTTCACCAGTCTAGTACCTTGAAGAAGCAGATGAATATTTTTGTGCGATCACAAATTTGAAGGGGGAAAGGGAATTATGTTACGCAGCCGGGGGGAAATCTTCTTCTTCGCGGATGGCCCTCCTCCGCCACTCGGGGTTTGGTTCTCCGCGTCTCGGGGCCCGAAAATTGTTCCGAGCTTATGCTTTGTAAAACCATCGTACCAGTGTATAAGTGTATGTACAGATTTTCGCAAGGTGCAGAAAAATTGTATAAAATTAAAATGCTGAGTCTGAGTGGTGCCTGACTTTGACTGCTAGGTACTACTTACAGCAAGTGCGATATTTTTGCAGACGGAATAGAGTATGTCCAAGAAGTGGTGCTTGCTCGAAGGTCTTGCCGTGCTCCCGCTTCGTCTGTTGCTCGTGCGCTTTTCATTTCGCGTGCACGAAGTAGATTTTTCTGACCAAGACCGCACACTACGTCCTCCACTGCTGGGAGTGTCTGCTTTCTCTGTCGGCTCTGCTTCGGAGATCGAAGAGCAGGAGCAAGATGTTGACCACGTCGCTGCACCGGTTTCGACGGACGAGAAAAAAAAGCCCTTCCTGACAAGGGATAGAGCTGTTCCTACGGACCGCGTGGTCAATCTGGCCACGGTGGAGAAGAAGGCCACGGCGGCACCTCCGACGGAGGAAAACTACAAAATCCCGTTTTTGCAGCAGGATCGTCTCGGAAGGAGAGCAGGGAGCAAGCTGCGGGGACGAGAGGAAGATCGCAGTACAGTTATGGACGGAATGGCATCCGCATCTGCTTTCTTGCAACGGCAGGCAGAGGAAAAACGGAGACAGAAGGCGGAGGAGACAAGTGAAGACGAAGATAGTGAAGACGAAGATGATGGCGAAGGAGAACTCGGCGAGAAGGAAGCAGGTCGTGCAGGTTTATCACGTGAAGAAAAAGATGACCTACTTGTTCCACCCGGCGGCGCTTTATTTCTGGAGCAGCGGGAGCTCAGCGCGGATGTTGCGCGGCAGCAGGAAAGTACAACAAGTAGCGACGACGAGGATGATGCAGGTCACGGCTTCGATGATGCACGTGGGGATGCGGAAGATGAAGACGACCTTGACGACACTTACGATGGTGACGCAGAACAGGATGCAGATTCGCAAGAGTCAGCTCTGATGGAAATGAAAGGTGATGCCCCACAGTCTCCCGCGGAAAGCTGCGCCAATGACATCGGCCGCACGGAAAGAACCTCGCCTCGGTGTTATCCTGTGTAAAAACGTACCCACACCATAGTTGTCATGCTACTCTGCATGCTTAAAATGTTTCTCATGCGGAGCCCCATGAGAAGCATTTTCTATATGTGGTTTGGAAATCTGTAATGCGCCAATCAGCATGAGATACTAGATCTGTAATGCTGCTTAGCTAGCTCAAACAGTACTACACTACGCGTCCAAATTTGTCATGCGAAACAGCCAAAGCTTGTGGATTTGTCTAGCGGATTTCCCATCTTGACTCTGGTGTGGGGACATTTTTACTCAGGATAGGTGTGCCGTCGGCTGGTACTGTGAGAGTTGCCGGCATTTCAACGTGATTCGGGTGTTGAATCCGGACACCGGGCACGGCGTCGGGTGGCACGACCAACGGTCGCCGAACAACGAGCACGGCATTCGGTTAGACGAAGGCACCCGGTTGGGCGTTGCGTCTTGGGGATGGGGGGAGGAGGACTGCCCGAATACCTACAACGCGAACAAGGACAATCCGCAAAGTGACCGACACTTCGACTGTGCCAGGGAACGGACGGAAAAGCTGTGGGCAGAATGCGCGTCTAACCCGCAGGGATGTCACTCCGTGCTTACCGTGATACGTGGCGGACAGAACTCTATGAGTGTGCACAACTCCCCCTCCCCCTCATTTGTATATTGTATTGCATGAACAGCAATGAATAAGAACAGACACCCCCACCTGTGGAGCCTGCGCATGACAAGTTCATGCACCTAGTGTAGTACAACTGTTTGGGCTTGTTCCGGAATCTGTCATGCAAACAGTACCACGCAGCAGCACTTGGATTTGGCATTACCCTAGATCTCCTGCGTCCGAAGCTGCTTGCGGCGAAGGGGCAAAGGTTTTTGATGTGGTGCAGTCGGGTATGCATGACAAATGAGGGAGGAGGGGTTCGTTGTGCACTCTCATAAAGTCTCTGCAACGGACGGAACGGATTTGGAAGGGCCAGGATTGGGGTGACATATTGCAAGGAAAAATCTCCCTCCCCATACGGAAAACGCATCCTCCTGAAAATTTGTGATGCAGATTTGCTACCACAAATCCTAATCCTGTCTGTCTTGCAAGAAGGCAAGCGCGGGCTGTCCGCCACGTTATGCGGGCGATTTGTAATGCTGTAAGGACTCCTACCTAGTACACCTACAGGGCAGAAGTCTGGTGCCATGCTAGGCGCCTACACACCAAAAGGCCCCCGCCTAGGCTTGCGATCTGTGCGCAGTTCTCTACTGCAAGTGTACACAAGTCCCGCGTCCCAGATGTCCGTTTTGTTATGAGGAGGGGGGATGTTTCCTTTTGATGTGACAAGGTGGGCCCCCACACACTGAGCCCGCTGCCCAGCGTATCCAAGACAAAAACATTGTAGGTGTAACTTTCTTGGAGGATTAGCATGACAAATATCTCGCGCATGACAGCAAAAACCTGTCATGCGCAGATACTACTTGAAAACGCCCTTTAATGAACCCTACGATGCATGCCAAGCATGACAGACGCAACCAGCTTGAATGTTGCGCATCACAAATTTACACTAACAACGTTTTTTTCCTGGATACAGCGACTGGCTGACGCAGCTGGCCCCGTCCGCCTGGGACCGCACCGACGCCGGCATGGCACCGCTGTGGAACGCCGTTATCAAGTATCAAATGCAAATATGTCTGGGTCTGGAAGATCGCTACATTTGTCATGCATGTCTGACATGGCACAAGTCAAGAATCTGTGATGCATGGGCACGAAGCGGTCCTCTTACCTGTCATGCAGAAACGCAGTTTGCCATGCGGAACACGCAACACGTAGGAGCCCAAAAATTTGTCATGCTTGGCTCCGTATCGCAGTGGAACTCTCATTCACTTTTAGCATTACAAGTTTCCAGACCAAGAGTTGCAATGCATATCAAGCCACGCTTGGAGCAGGCGAGAACCAATGGCGAGGACATCATCGCGATGACGTGCAAACCCAGGCCGTGCCAGTTGATGAGCAGAGGCAGAGGCTGGGGGGTGGGGGTGCGGCGGCGGGGCTCGGCGACTACGTATTATGACGATGATTACAACAACGAGTGCAGAAGCAGCGCCTGCTGCAATGGGTATTCCTGGGGACGCAGCAACGACGGGGATTATGCGAATAGGCGCCGGAGCAGACGCAGGAGGAGCTGGGGTGGAGGTGATACCGAGTACAATTATGCGTGCGACAAGACCACCTGGGATGAAGATCCGGGGCAATGGCCTGGCGCTCCTAACAACCCCGACCAAAAAGCTCGCGTCGATAATATGGCGTTCTCAACCGTTATATTCTCAACTGTTACAACATGATTTGTCATGCAAAACTCTCATCACCAGCATCTTTCTAGATCTACACCATCAAGCTACCTCGCATGACAAATTTCCGAAGGGCTACA